AGATGCCTGCAGGTCTCGTATCCTCCCCAGAGACTCCTCAAACCTTCTGTGAGGAACTGCCTGGAAAAACCTAGCGTATCCCAAAGGCTCAGGTGACTGGAAGACCAGGCCAGAGGCCGGCTCCTCTTGTGCTGGCTCCATCTTGGTTTATCCACCTCCCAGACACTTGGCAGAGAAAGAGCGGGGTGCAGACAACTGGATGGGGGCATCTGGGGACCTCGAGGACTTGGCACATTCGGAGACCCAGACCTCATGGCTAGACTGGGATTCTGGGCTTCAAGGAGGAGGCCCACAGAGGCTGAGGGTGTCTTTGCATCAGATCCTGTAAGGTGCGTGCTGTCCATGCCGTAGATGTGGACCTTGACCCCGGGCTGCAGCATGCGCCCAGGTTTCTCCCCGTAAAGTTACTCCCTTCTTGCTGCTTGCCACACTGTCCTTCCCTGCAGAAGGCGGGCACTAGGAGCAGCTTGTATTTTGCGGGTAGGATGTCTGGTCAACATCCTGGAGGGCACGGTGTCTGTGTAAATGACTTGGAATTCTTCCGAGAGATAAGGACAGTTCCTCCTAACCATAAAATCTGTAAGAATATATGGCTAAGAACACACTTAGAACCAGTCAGCAAGGGCCACGGTGACCTGGAGTTGCCATGACAGTGGGGACTTGAAAGTCTGATGTCACCCTACTGTCAGCCAAAGAGGTAGACCTAGGAGGGACTCTGGAAATTTCTCTGGGATCACCAATAACACTGGAGTGCAGGAGAGGCACACTGTCACTCTCCTAAGAGGATCCACTTTCTCTCTTGAGAGATCCCTATCGTGAGGTGGCCAACGCTTCCCCAGGGTAATTTTTCCTGCGCAGGAGGGGATAAGCTACCTGAGAAATCAGAGCCTGAAATAATTGAGAGGAAATAAGACAAAATCAGAATTATAGTTTTAAAAGCATAGGGCAGCCGATAGATTCTTCCAGTCCTGGCAGGAGCTGGAGCAGAACAAATAGAAAACGGCTTTGGTGGCTTAATTTAAGGGGGTACATCAAAGGCAGGAATACGGGTTCAGGGGTAGAGTCTTGCTTCACGATGTCTTGCAGTCAACAGGTTGATTGGCATCTTGGCAATCACACCCGTCTCTGAGAGGTGGTATAGCTACAGCAGTCACCCCATCTCCTGAGCCTGTGGGAACTTTTTGAGCAGAGCTGAGCAGGAGTTCACTTGCAGTGGGTGACCTTAATAGTAGGATGGCCACTGTAAGTTCCCAAATACCAGCTCTACTCTCCAATGGCTCCAGTGATGAAAAGGTCCTCACACATAGTCCACTGATGGCTCTCGACATATCTCCTTCCCATTTCCTATCTCTTCAATAAGCTCATTCCTATTACGCTGAGCCACAGGTCTGAAATCTTTCAACAGCCTTCGCACTGGCCTCTGCCATCTGTCTCTGGTGAACCCAGCAGCTAGAAGGATGTATGAGCTGATCATGTGCTCCCTCTGTAAAACCTTCTCTGGCTCCCTGTTACCCCCAAGAACAGAAGCCAAGTTCTTATAGCACTTCCAGTCTCTGTCTAGTTTATTTTTCTCTCTCTCCCCATCCTCCCTCTCTCCTCCCCACCCCCTCAGTGGTTCTTTTTAGTCATATTTGACAGTAGGATCCATTTTCTGCCCATTTCCCTATCTGTATCTCTCACTTGACCACAAGAATCAAGGGGGTCTTCGGGTTGCCTCCATTTCTGGGAGGACCCAGCTCAGTAACACCACCACGTGAAATACTATCAGATACCCTAACTAACCCTCTGCACAGTCTGTCTCTGTGTACAACTCCTCACTTTTTGCTTGGCTAACTCTAGTTTGGGCTTGACTACCTTCTTCAACGCCCCCCTACCACAGTTGGACAACAGTCTCCTCTGCCACAGGGTCCCCTTATTTTGACCTCACTATGGGTCCTTGCCCCTGGCCTGGAAGACCCCAGTCCACAGGTCGGAAGGGCACCACCCACTCTGTCTCCTCCCCTTCTAGTAGATATGGAAAAATGACAAACCCCAAAATAATGAGGCTCGGGAAAAGGGAATGAAATAGCCACACATTGATAGCACTAATCCTTTCCCAGTGACAAGACAGGCCCCAGGGAGGAAGCATCCATTAAGTCTGGAATGACAGTCTCTGGGAAGAGGCCACAGCAGAGATCCTTTCCTAAACAAACCCTTCCAGATACCAACCACTGGCCCCAGGCCCTCCATCCAGTCCAGTGAGATAAATATTTACTGATATTTATAAATATTTACCAGATATTTACTGATGACCCCGACCCCCTCCCATTTCACCCAGTAAAACAGACCTCAAATTCCTGAGTGCCCGAACTGACACATTAATTCACATTCTGACACATTCATTAAGTAAGTCATCTCGTCATAAGCTGTTCATGAGATGCATGTAGGTCATGTGCATGGAAGCCTTATGGATAGAGACATCTGGAGTCTGGGAATGGCCAGTGGACATTTCCTCTGGTTGATTGCCCAGGGACAATGTGAATCTCTTTCCTGCTCTGCCATGGCCCACACATCACCTGAGAGGGGTGACTTGCTGGGATGTCAATCAACCTGTTGATTGCAACACATCAGGAAGCAAGACTCCACCCCTCAAACCTTATCCCTGTCTTTGATGTACCCCCGTAACTAAAGACTGGAGCCATTTTCTCTTTGTCTAGTTCAAAAACCCATGTCGACTAGATCTATCAGGGGCTTCGCTGTCTGTAAATATATTTGAGTGTTTGTGTTTTTTTTCAATACTTATTTTTTTTTTAGTTGAAGTTGGACACCTTTGTTTTATTTATTTTTAAAAAATATTTTTTAGTATATGCTGAGAAACGAACCCAGTGCCTCACACATGCTAGGCAAGTGCTCTACCACTGAGGCACCACCCCAGCCCAAGTGTTTGTTTTATTACTTGTTAATTATTTGAGATATTAAGATTTAGGGTGGCTTGGACTCTTCTGGGCAGAAAAACCTCTCTATGACACACTGGCCTTCTTCCCCCTGGAAAATCTTTCATGACTTAATTAAGCCCAGTCCCCTCCTTTGTTCAGTGGCTCATTTTCTACCAGGAAAGTGGGTCCAGCAGCATCACCCCATTCCTGCCCACCCTGTTCCTGCATGAAACTTCTTTCCTGGATAAAAGGCTGAGATGATCCGTGAAGTTTTGAGTCTGGCCAGGTCCTTTTGTGCTAACAACTTCTGTAACTGGAAGCTGGAGTCCTGGGCCTCCATGGCAATCCAATAACCAAGACAAGATCTTGAGAAAAAGGAAAAAGGTTTATTGCTTTGCTAGCAAAGGTGAAACACAGGGGACTCCAGTCCCAAAGGCTGTGATTCTGCCCATCCCCAGGGGCTTTTATAGAGGTGGCTCAGAGAAAATAAGGGGAGTGGAGATCAGCAAGGAGAAGGCCAGGGAAAAGAAAATCAGGCAGCGGGCTGGGTGGCACTCGCCTGTAATCTCAGAGGCTTTGGAGTTCAAAGCCAGCCTCAGCAAAGGGAGGTGCTCAGCAACTCAGAGAGACCCTGTCTCTAAATAAAACACAAGATAGGGCTGGGGATGGGGCTCCGTGGTCCTGTGACCCTGATACTCAAGCCCTTGTACCCCCCACCAAAAAAAAAAAAAAAGCTGATCAGGGAGGAGATGGGAAAGAAGTTGTTTAGGGAATGGATGATCAGGGAGAAGTTTAGGGAAAAGATGATCAGGGAGGAGAAGTTTAGGGAAAAGATGATCAGGGAGGAGAAGTTTAGGGAAAAGATGATCAGGGAGGAGAAGTTTAGGGAAAAGATCATCAGGTAGAAGTTCAAGGAAAAGATGATCAGGGAGGAGAAGTTTAGGGAAAAGATGGTCAGGGAGGAGAAGTTTAGGGAAAAGATGATCAGGGAGGAGAAGTCTAGGGAAAAGATGATCAGGGAGGAGAAGTTTAGGGAAAAGATGATCAGGGAGGAGAAGTTTAGGGAAGGGGAAAAAGAAAAAAAATAACATGTAAGTTTCAAAGCCACAAGGGACACAGTCAAACCATCAAGGGAACCTGCTGGCATCCCACTGAAGCCAGATTTAAAGATACGTAGATAGTGTAGTTAGGTAAATCGGGTCTAATATCGAGTAAAATCGAAAATGAAGGCCATAATGAAAATGGAGCCCTGGGAAAGCAAAGAAGCACTTGGGAAATTGAAATGTTAATGTTCCCAAGGCCCAGAGCCCATTCTAAAGAAATATTAATGAAACAGCTCCCAGTAAACAGGGAGATGCTAATCAAAAGCAGCCCCAGGCCCTTCCTGACCAGATTACTCCTCAGGCCCATCTGCCCCTCACCTTTTGGGTCTCCCCACCTACATTCTATAACTGCAAGATAACAGGACAAAGGACAGAAATCCGACAGAAAGCTAAATGAAGACCTTAGTATAAAAGAGAGAAGAACTCCCCCTTCCATGGATTCCACCTCTTGGGTCCCCTTCTTCCTCCGGGGCAAGTCTTTTCTGCTGTCCTTAATAAAGCTTCCACTTTCCACTCTAAACCTGCCTCGGGTGCTTCTCTGCTGTTATACTTCAGCACCGGGGAAGCAAGGCCTCGTCACCGGTAAAGAGCGGTAACAGCATAAGGAGGTGCCAGGTGGCACGGCCTGAGTGGGTGCTGCAGGAAGAAGGCCTGCGGTCTGGCCCATCTGGGAAGCGCTCATCCGCGCTCTGGGTGGAGGGGCGACAAGGGGTCGGCGAAGTGGCAGGTGGTAGGACACCGGCCTAGCATGCGCAAGGCCCGGGGCTCCATCCCCAGCACCGGAAAAGGGAAGGGAAAAGAAGAGAAAATGAAAAAGAAAGGAAAACGCGTAAAGGTCGTAAGTAGGGCTCCAGGAAGTCACGCCCCCCGGAACGCACTCCTGCCGCGGACACGGCCGGCGTCGCACCCACCTCCCCGCCCCTCACCAACGTGGCGCCGGAGCGCGGGGCTGCGGGCGGAAGTGACGCGCACGCCGGAAGTGTGCCTGCGGGTGGGCCGGCCGAGCCCAGTGCGGCGGCTGAGGCTCGAGGCTGGTGATGCCACTGGCGGGGCGGCTTGGGGGCGCCGCGGCGCTGTGGTTGCTGCTCTCCGCCCACGTGGTGTCGGCGTTCGAGCCCCTCAGCGTGGGTCTGGCCATCGGGGCCGTGTCGGCCCTCACGGGCTACCTCTCCTACAAGGACCTGTACTGCCGCTTCGCCGAGTGCTGCCGCGACGAGCAGCCGCTCAACGCCTCGGGTACGTGCCGCGGAGGGGCGGGCGATGGCCCTGCTGGAAGCGGCCTGCGACAGCGCGCCGCAGCCCCCGGACCTGCCGCGTCCCCTCACCTGCCGCGGCCCACGGGCCCGCCGCGGCCCCTCACCTGCCGCGGCCCACGGGCCCGGCTCCGAGCGGCGCGCGAGGCGCGGCCGCCCCGGCGCCCCCGCAGCCCTGCAAGCCGCGCCTGCCGCGCCGCGCCGCCTGGAAGCCCGCGGGGATGGCGGAAGAGTAGCCTGCAGCTCGGCCGGGAGGTGGTCCGACCTTGGATGAAAGAGGCCATCTAGCTTCCTGGTCAGACGCGTAGGGTTAAGCAGAACCGCCACCTAATGCACTTCCTCGGAGGTGGCATCACTTGGCTCCAGCCCCTGCGGGTCAGCCTCAGCCTTGGCTCCGGGGTGGGCAGAGTCGCTGCCGGATCGCTCGCTGAGCCTGCCTCTCGCTTTGGTCAGCTGGGAAAGTGCCGCTTCTCTGATGCATTCTTAACGTGTGTTTCTCTCTCTGTCCGGGGCCTGGCTCCCGCAGCCCTCAAGTTGGATTTGGAGCAGAAGCTGTTTGGACAGCATCTGGCCACGGAAGTGATTCTCAAGGCGCTGACTGGCTTCAAGAACAACAAAAACCCCAAGAAACCACTGACCCTGTCCTTGCACGGCTGGGCTGGCACAGGCAAGAATTTTGTCAGTCAAATTGTGGCTGAAAATCTTCACCCAAAAGGCCTGAAGAGCAACTTTGTCCACCTGTTTGTATCAACTCTGCACTTCCCTCATGAGCAGAAGATTAAACTGTACCAGGTAAGAGAACCCACCCTTACCTCCTCGCAGGATGCTCAGAGTGGCCTGGGTGACCTGCCTGGGAACTCTGGCCTCTTCTTGTCTTTGCATCACAACAGCCCCAGAGTTAAGGCTCCTTGTAGTCCAGGGGGTTAGGAAGATCTCCTGTAAATCTTTCCTTAGAAGTCTAGCAGAGTAGATGATGTAATTCCCATTAAAAGATGGAGCCAAGAGAGGCAAGGTGACTTGCTCCTCAAAATATTTGTGGCCTTTGGGCCCCAAAAAGCTTAAACTCAAACCTCTCAGCTCCCATTTTACCTGCTAGCTACCCTCTACAGTGAGTGCACAGTCTCAATGGCTAGCATGGTCCTGGCCTCCTTTAATGCTCCCTGTCCCCCCAGGTGGCCTCAGCTGTACCCCTGCATTTTGCAAGGTAAACTAGAGGATTTTTTTTCCCCCTCTTAAATGGTTTTTATACCTTGTTTCCCCCAACCTTCAAGTCCTTGTCTTGGCTCAAAGAAAGCCTCATGAGTGTTTCTCTGAGAGATTCTTTCCATATTTAAGGTGTTAAATGTTTTCTAAATGAATGTGTCATTATTAAGGTTAGTATTCCTGCTGTTAGGTGCCAACTAAAATGGGAAATAGAAACTTAACTGAACTAGGAAGTGAAAGTATTTTCCACTCAAGCTCTAAGACGGAAGATTGCCAAAAGGAAGAAATAATTTTCTTGTTTTCAAATTGTGTTGTAAATCTCTTGAAACGTGGCAAAATAGATGAAGGGGTATCTGGGGGGCGTTCATGGTCAAGTTCTTTCACGTTTTGGGTTTGAGAACTTGTTGCTGGGGTGTTTTTGTTTCAAGAAAAGCCTCGAGGCTGGGGGTGAGGAGCAGTGGTAGGGCACTTGCCTAGTGTGCCAGGAGCCTTGGGCTTTATCCTTAGCACCACAAGAAAAAAAAAGCCAGCAGCATAGGGACAGACTTTTCATGAAATGTCATCTAGGTCAGTTCTTTGCTTTAGTCTGGGGTCTTGGTCTTAATCTAAGATTAAACAGCCTTAATATAGTACCTTATTCCTCAGTGTATGTGGCAATATTGACTGGAGATTTTGTTCAAATGTGAGGTGAAAACTATGGGGTGGTCAGCAGGAAGGATAAATATTCCTGTCTTCTACCTCTTAGACCCTTAAAAAGTCAAAGCATGACATTTGAGGTAGGAAAAATGTCTTTGCAATTCAGCATTTATCTTTGTGCCCGTTTACACTTTTTTTTTAACATAAATAATTTATTTTTTATTTAAATATTTTTTTAGTTGTAAATGAACATAGTATCTTTTATTTATTTTTTTGTATGTGGTGCCGAGGATCGAACTCAGTGCCTCACACGTGGGAGGCAAGTGCTCAACCGCTGAGCCACAGCCCTGGCCCAATAGTTTGTTTTTTTTAAAAAATATTTATTTTTTAGTTGTAGTTGGACACAGTACCTTTGTGCTGAGATCGATCCCAAGGCCTCACACGTGCTAGGCGAGCGCTCTACTGAGTCACAACCCCAGGCGCCCCCCCTACCTTTTACACTTCTGATGGTTTGAAAAAGGTGACAGAGCCCCAGGAACCCCTTCCTTAGTCCTTTAGAGCAGAGGAACAGGGTGGTGCTTGGGCTCCTTGGGTGTGGCCGTTGAGCCTCTGCCACTCTTTCATGGTCTGTCTAGGAGCAGCTACAGAAGTGGATCCGTGGAAACGTGAGTGCCTGCGCCAGCTCGGTTTTCATATTTGACGAGATGGATAAGTTGCACCCCGGGATCATCGATGCCATCAAGCCTTTCCTTGACTACTACGAGCAGGTGGACGGGGTGTCCTACTGCAAAGCCATCTTCATCTTTCTCAGGTCAGCCAGCAGTGGTTTCTCAGGGACAGTGCTAGAATGAGGTCCTTGTGACCACCTGCATTTTGTTTATCAGGGACAGAAGTGCCAGCCTGGTAAAAGTTACTTTTACTTTTTGGTTACCAATAATCAGCATGGCATAGAATGGGCAGGGATGAATGAGCTGAGGAAATAGTTGCTGATAACAGACAATTTGGAACTGTGTGTTGTCTCGAGGGTTATAAAACCACAGCATGATCCCAGAAAGCTATGAAGACATAGATGGTGTTGGGCAGTGGTGCGTGCCTTTGGTCCTGGCATCTCAGGTGGCTGAGACAGGTGGGTCACAAGTTAAAGGCCAGCTGCAGTAAATCAGCAAGGCTCTAAGCAACTTAGCAAAACTGTCTCAAAATAAAAAAGAAGACTGCATATAATCCCAGGGCTTCCGCTGCTCCCGTCCCTGTCCTTGCTGCCCTCCTGGGAGGCGGAGTCGCCATCCTCTCCATGGTGCCCAGGTTATACTTGGCCCTGCCATAGTGGCCACTGGGCTTCCACAGCTCTTCTGGTGGCCTTCATGGACTGTTTTCCCCTGGTGCCCCAGCCTGGAGCAGTGAGGAGGTCCGCAGGTGGGGAAGCCAGTGTGCAGGGGTGGCCTGTAGGTGGGTGCCCTGGCTGGAGAGGCGATAGGGGACCACTGGGTGGGGCAGTGCATGGGGGAGCGGGGGAGGAGGTGTAGGTGAGCCCATGGATGTGGGTGGGGAGTCTTGTGGGGCCCTTGGCCCAAATAGGGGAGGGGTGTAGTGAGAAGAGCAAGGCACCAGGATCCTAGAGGAGCTTCCTAAATGTGTGGAGGTATTTATTATTAGAATTATGTCCTGAAAATAATTAACCATAAAAATAAAAAATAAGTAAAAGGGCTGGGGATGGCCTGGCTTGGGAGGATAAGCAGGAGGATTATGGATTCAAAGCCAGTGTCAGCAACTTAGTGAGGCTCTGAGCAACTCAGCGAGACCCTGTCTTTAAGTAAAATATTTAAAAAACAGAGCTGGGGATGTGGCTAGGTGCTTAAGTGCCCCTGGGTTAAATCCCCAGTACCAAGAAAAGCGGGGGGGCGGGATGCTGGGGATGTAGGTCAGTGACAAAATGCTTCTAGGTTCAATCCCCATACCAAAATAAATAAATTAATTACTAATAATAGTAATAAAAAGGAAACAAATGGTGCATGCCTATAATCCCAGTGACTCTGCAGGCTGAAGCATGAGGATTGAAAGTTTGAGGTGAGCCTCAGCAACTTTGCAAGACCCCATCTCAAAATAAAATTTAAAAAGGGCTGGGAGTGTAGCTCAGAACATCCCTGGGTTTAATCTTCAATATGCAAAACAAAACAGAAACAAATTTTAAGTTCCTTGAGGGCAGTTTCTTTTGTGTATAGTAGCATTTAGTAAATTTGGTCTAAGAGGAAAGCTTCAGGGATTAGATGTGTAGGTTGGTGGTAGAGTGCTTGCCAAGCATGCATGAGACCCTGAGTTCAACTGCCAGCACCCCAAGAAAGGCTGAAGCTTAGGGCTGGGCAGAGTTCAGTGGCATAGCACGCTTAGCATGCTTGAGGCCTGTATTCCATTCCTAGCACCAGAAAAATAAATAAACCCTGGAGCAGGTTCATTTCCTGATGAAACATAGAAGTCTTGATATGTGATTTGATCTATTCCCTGGCCAACCCAGCAATGCAGGTGGGGACCTCATAACTAAGACAGCTCTGGACTTCTGGAGGGCAGGAAGAAAGAGGGAAGATATCCAGCTGAAGGACCTGGAACCTGTGCTGTCTGTCGGAGTCTTCAACAATAAACACAGTGAGTCCCCAGGGCGAGGAGCCAGCAGGTGCTGTCTGTTCTGCTGAGTCTTTACAGAGCCCCAGAGCCTACTTGCTAGGGGCTCTGCTGCCGTGGGGTTCCCTAGGGCCTTAGCAGGGGTTGCACACCTGACAGACTCTTGCCAGGAGTGAAGACGTGAAGAACATGCTGCAGGCTGAGATCAGGTGTGGAGTTCCACCAGGTGGCAGTGACAGGCAGGAGACAGCTCTGTGTTGTTCTGCAGGTGGCCTGTGGCGCAGTGGACTGATAGACAGAAACCTTATCGACTACTTCGTCCCCTTCCTGCCCTTGGAGTACAGACATGTGAAGATGTGTGTGAGGGCAGAGATGCGGGCCCGTGGTGCTGCTGTGGATGAAGACATCGTCACCAGGGTGGCAGAGGAAATGACGTTTTTCCCCAAAGATGAGAAAATCTATTCAGACAAGGGCTGCAAGACTGTTCAGTCCCGACTAGATTTCCACTGAGTGCTTACCCACACCCGGACCTTGCCCTTCAGAAGCACTTTGAAGACCTCTTCAGGGTTCTGCATATTTGCACCTGTGAACTTGGGATCTAGAAGTTTCTAAGAGTTAACTATTGAAAAGATACTAATCTGTCCTGCGTGCGACATGATGGCAGTTCAGCTGTTCCTTGCAATTGAATGTGAGCTTTTAGAATCCTTCATATGCACAGTTATTAACCTTCACGGAAGTGCCTGCAAACAGCTGTGCGTGAGGTGGAGGGTCATTGGTGACCCACGGCCCGGCCTCTCAAGCCAGTGCTTTGACCAAGGGCCCCAGGGACCCTGCTACAGTTGGGAGCATCAGGTTTTCACATGCCAAAGTCATCTTGCTCTGCTTTTTCTTTGCACAGAGCACATTCACTGGCTGGTAGTATTTTTAGTTAACATCAGTGGCCCTGCAGGTGCAGATGGTGTTGGCGAGGAGGATGTGGCCCTACACACCGGCTACTCTTGTCCTGGGCTGGACTGTCATCCTAAGGGTGAAGGTGCACCCAGGCCCTGTAAGCAGACCAGGATCCAGAGTCCCTCGGGTCTGGCCCTGGCCTTGGAATTCCCACTGTCTGCTTGGTGAGCCTGCCAGCTCCTTATACCATGTCCTCCAGACACGCCACTACCAGGTTTCCCCAGCCCCTTCATGCTACATTTGCCTGTTACACTTCCCCTGTGAGTCTGTGCAGCTCAGCAGGACCGGCGGGTGCTCTGAGCTGTGCTGGCCTGCAGAGCCTGATTGCGGAGGGAGCAAAATGCTTAAGCGCCTCCTTAAACATAAGTGTATTTTGCCGGGCTCCGTGGTGCACGCCTATAATCCCAGCGGTTTGGGAGGCTGAGGCTGGAGGATCACGAGTTCAAAACCAGTCTTGGCAATGGTGAGGCGCTAAGCAATTCAGTGAGACCCTGTCTCTAAATAAAACACAAAATAGGGCTGGGTATGTGGCTCAGTGGTTGAATGCCCCTGAGTTCAATCACTGTACCCACCCCAGAAAAAGATAGGTGTATTTTTAAAACCTGGGAATGACTTAAAATGGAATAATTGCTTATTCTCAGGTACTTTTAAGTAGTATGGGTTTTTTTATTTTTATTTTTTGTGCTAGGGAAGTAGTATGAGTTTTTATTGTTAAGTACAAGGTACGGTATGGTCACAATTGAAGATCAAAGAAGGTCATCTGAGTGGTGGCTGGTCTGGGTGTCATCTGATGCTGACCCCTGCATGGCAGTGCCAGGCTGGATGGCCCTGATCACTGGGAAATAAAGAGTCAGATTCCAGCCAGCAGGATCCTTCTGCCTGACCCACAGCTGTGATATAACTAGACCCGTGATTGAAACACTGGGTAACATTTTTATATGTATGAAATGTGCAAGAATGAAGAGTCTGCAACATGGAAATGCCTTCTGGGGTATCACATTTAGTCTTTAAAAACCACCACAGTGGGAGCTGGGGTCGTGGCTCAGCAGTAGAGTACCCTCTCCTAGCACGTGGGAGGTGCTGGTTTCAATCCTCAGCACCACATAAGAGATAAAATGACAACTAGAAAAATATCTAAAAACACCCCTGTGGGCTGGGGACGTGGCTTGGGTAGAGTGCTGGCCTCGCATGCATGAGGCCCTGAGTTCCCCAGCACCACCCAATAAATGAAGATGCCAAGGTGAGGCTCCTGAGTTTCAGGATGTGTTCTCACATTGGAGCTAAGTTACCTTTCTTTTATAACCTTTTGGGCCTGTGGTCTGGAGGAGACAAGGTTTCCTGTTTACAGTGATGCAATAAATTCCACACATGTGGGCCACCTTTGGACTGTGGTTGCTGATTTGGAAAAGCCCAGCCTCTCATGAGATATGGACAAGAACTTGAATTGACTAGTGAATAGAAAATAATAAAACCTAAATACTATGTTGTGAGATGTCACTTTTTCTTCTTACCTCTAGTTTATGTGGAGGCAAAGTCAGTGCAGAATAAAGGTTTTCAACATCTCAGGTTAGACACACCTTACCCCAGGTGTGGGGGTTGGCAGCCTGCATCTCACAGCCAAGATTTGTCTCAAAGGTGGCTATCCCCTCAGAGTTAGCTCCCTGGGACCCAGGTGGGCTTCACTCTAGAAAATACATCCTCGCGAGGCTGATGCAGGAAGGAAAAGTTGAAGCCCCAGGACCCTAACTCAGGTGAGGAAACTCCTCTGCTGGCTCTTCCCACCCAGAACTAGGACGCAAGGAGAACCTGGTTGTCACTCAGATCTTAACCTTAACCTGGCAGTGATCTGGGGATGTGGCTCAAGCGTGTGGCCCGGGTTCGATCCTCAACACCACCTACAAAGATGTTGGGTCTGCTGAGAACTAAAAAATAAATATTTAAAAAAAAAATTCTCTCAAAAAAAATTGTTAAAAAAAAGTGAGAATTTTTAAATATATATATATATATATTTTAGTTTTTGGCATGCCAGGTGAGCGCGCTACCACTTGAGCCACATCCCCAGCCCTCACACCCCTCTTCATCGCCCTGCCCCCTCCCTCCATTTCTCAGTTGAAGGAGCTCAACTGGCAGGAGACTTATTTCCTTGGTCTGGCCTAAGGCAGTCTGTTCCACCCCAAACTGCTTCATCTACTGAGACTGAACTTTGCAAAATGATGTCAGAGGACCTCTTTTTCCTATTTACAGCCTTACAGGTGCCAGGGCTGCCATCTTCAGAGGGATGATCAGAGCTCATCTGTGACTGCTAGGGACACTTGAACCATGGTAGGGACACCGGGCCACCCTAGAAACAGGCGAGGTGTTGAGCACCTCGGCCCCTCCAGCCATCTTCTAAGCCATCTGGACCCTTCCTGGGGAGCCCTGCCCCTCTGTAGGCATGCGAGCTGCGCGGCACAATATGGCTTGTCTCCTGGAGCCCTGCGCTCCTGCCCGACACCTCAGCTGGACCAGAGCACCACGGCTGGGTGCCAGGAGCTCCGTGAGTCCTGCCCTTGAAGTGTACTGCCCTGGCAGCTTGGTGAGGGTCAGACTGCACTTCCTTTCCACCAGAACCGCCTTGCTACGTCTTTACTCAGCCTACACGCGGGCCTCTGGTGAAGGGTTTTCCTTTATAAACCATACTCAAAAGGCTGTGGGTGTGGCTCAGTGGTGAGCATGTGTGAGCTCCAGTCTCCAGCACACTCGCATGTATCCGCAAACTATGCGAGGCTGGGACATGGCACAGTCAGAGAACCCTCACCTCGGACATGTGAGGCACTACGCTCCGTCCCCAGCACCACCCAGAGAAAAAGAAACCAAAAGTTCAAAATTCTGTTGTAAAATGGTAGCATTTATAGATAACACTATTCTTGGCCTTCTCAGAGGGGCAGCTAAGTTCTCCTAGATGTGGGGAGTTCTCATTCAACATAACTAGTGACCATGAGGGAGTTCTTAAAAAGAATATGGCAAAATCCATCACAACTGAAGAACCAGCAGAGGAAGCGCGGCTCCTTTGGAGACGTAGCGGGGCTGGCAAGTGGGGAGCTGGAGGGTCCTTTTCTTCCCTTTTTTGGGGTGGGGTGGTACTGGGGATCACACCAGCACGATTGTCATGGGTGCTTTGCCACACTGAGCTGCATCCCAGCTCTCCTCCCGTGGCGGGTCTCACTACTGTCCTCACTAAGTCTCCTCTGGCCTCACTCTCCTGCTGAGGCTGGCCTCAGACTTCTGATCCTCCGTCTTCAACCTGGGATGGTGGGTGGGTGTGCCAGGCTCTGGATGTTTCTTTCAAAAGATTCAAGTTCTGACGAGTGCACACAGTATGACCAAGCTCGTCCCCATAGCGCCCACTGTCCCCACCGCTCCCAGCTGAAAGCCCCAGGAGGACATCGGGCTTACCGCGGGCCGGCCTGGGTCCTCTGATGTATTTCTCCTTCTGTCTGCACACTTCCTGGCCCTGACGGGGCTGGTTCTGGTCATCCCGGGATAGCGCTGGTGTCCCCTGTACTGCCATCCCACAGAACAGATGCCAAGGACCATGCTCAGCCTGTTTTCTTAATGTGGTAGACATGACAGTATGTAATGATGAGGATTTGAAAAAAATCACACAAAGCCAAAAACTTAGAATCTGAAAAAAGTTTCTCATAATGTTAAAAACCATCTTAAATAAAGTTATCACATTTTCAGTAAAACTTATTTATCGTTCCTTGAAACAGAAATAAGTGAAATTAAAACATAATTTTTAAAAAATCACAAGCCCTGGAGTGGGTGGGCTGGGAGCTGCAGTTTTCTCCTCTGAAGGCTCCAACACCTCCTGTCCATATCTGGGTTCTGTAAGGTAGGGCACTGTGGCCTTCCACGGAGGGAACAGGCCCAGAATTCCTGCTGCACCCCTGGAAATATCCATTTGATTCCTCTTCCCTGGAAAGGAGCAGGGGCAGACTGAGCGTTGAGTTCCTCTCAAAGCCTGGTGTGGGCCATCAGTCATCGAGGTAATAGTCCAGCTTGGTGTGCACCGTCTTGCAGCCCTTGTCAGAGAAAACGCGCTCCTCCTTGGGGAAAAAGGTCATCTCTTCAGCCACTCTGCTGATGACGTCCTCGTCAACCTCATAGCCGCGGGCCTGCATCTCGACCCTGATGCACATCTTCAGGTGTTTGTATTCCAGGGGCAGGAAGGGGACAAAATAATCAATGAGGTTTCGGTCAATCAGACTGCTGTGCCAGAAACCACCTGGGAAACAGGAAAAGATGCTGTTTGCCACCAGGCACCTGACAGTCCGTCCACCCAGCACACACCCACTGGGGGGTCGCCCGAACACCCACAAGCTGTGACTCTTCTACGACAGCAGGGGCAGGGTGACGATGCAGAGCACCTCCGCCTGGCAATACAAAGTCAGTGTCCCAGGGACCCTGGGACCAGCAGAGGTGGTGCAGGAGCGGGTGAGTCCTGGAAACCTGGACTCTGCTGGAACTTTGGCATCTGGACTAGCAGAGGGCAGAAACTCACTGCCGCTGTAGTGCAGCCCAAGTGTGCAGAGCATCCAGGAGCCCAAAGCCGGACCCCCTCAAGCACCCAAGTGCGAATGTGACACTGCACACCCAGGGGCCCGGCTCTGCCAGGCATTCTCCCAGAGGGTCTCCCTGCCCCTGCCTAGCCCTCCCGGGTCCTGGGACCTTTTTTTTTGAGCCACATCCCAGTCCTTTTTATTTTAAGACAGGGTCTTTCTAAGTTGCTTAGGGTCTAAATTGTTGAGGCTGGCCTCTGACTTGCAATCCTCCTGCCTCAACCTCCTGAGTCCCTGGGATTACAGGTGCACACCACCACACCTGGCTTCGTGGGACTCTTGATCCAGGGGTTACTCCCTCCCACACGACACAGCACCCACTGCTCACCACTGCCCACGATCCTCCACACCCTGCTGCTTGGCTGGTTATTCCTTGTGACTCTGCCCCTAATGCTAGCTCCGCCAAGACTGGAGTATAAATTTTCCATTCCCAACAGTGCCTCGCGCACCACTGGTTCTCAGTAGATCTGCCCGGCTGGCTGGGGAGGAGAATGTGGCCACAGAAAGTAACCACACTAACAAGTGGAATGGCTCACCCAGCAGGTGTGTGCTGGGTCCTGGGGACAGCAGAGCCAGCCAGCCAGCCAGAGACGCTGCTGGCACAGGGGTGAGGAGACACCCGATCAACCAGGAGAGACACACTTTCCCACAGGGCCAAGCCCTAGGCACCATGAAGTGAACCAGGCAGCTGGGGTGGTTGGGCAGGGCCCAGAGAAAAAGGGGACCTCTGAGCATAGCAATGATGACAAGGACCTGGCCACACAGGCCCAGAGGTGTCCAGCAGAACCAGTGATTTAAAAACCACCTACTGGGCCAGGTGCAGTGGTGCACACCTGTAACCCTAGCCCTTCAGGAGGCTGAGGCAGGAGGATTGCAAGTTTGAGGTCAGTTTGGGCAATTTAGAGAGACCTGTCACAAAAAATAAAAAGGGCTGGGGTTGCAGCAAGTGGAGCCCTTGCCTAGCACGAGTGAGCCCTGGGTTCCGGCCCCAGCAGCAACACCCGACAATAATAAAACGTCTACGGGCCGGGCTGGTTCATCCCCCAGCTCCAGAGGAACAAAGGACACGTACTGCTGACTCCCAAAGCTATCTTCCCAACCACATAGCTCCCTGGAGTGTCCCTAGGACGGGCCACGTCTGTTCCACATACCTGCTGGGACACCAACAAGTCATGTGGTCCCCACAAGCCTGCTCCGCCTGCTCCACCCAGTGGCAGGACCCACCCTCCTTCCGCTCAAGCCTCAGACTTCTCTCATGCCCCCAAGCAATCCTTCGGGAAATCTGGCTTTTACCTTCAAACTGTACCCAGAATCTGACTGGGCCTTAGCACCTCCATGGCTACCACACCAGAGAATCTGTTGTCCACAGCAGTCAGGATCCCTTGAGAACCAGGGGCATGTCATCACCTGCCAAAACCCTCCAGGTCCTCTCCTCACTTGGGGTAAGTAGCCAGGCCTCACTACTGTCCTTCCTGCCATGACCCCAGCCCCTGCCTACCTCAGAGACCTGTACCTGCAGACCCAAGGGAATATTGTCCCTTAGCTGTCCACATGGCTCAGTCCTACGGGTCAGCTCAAATACTGCCTGAAACCTCTGGGCTCTCTAAGTATGGCTTGAACTTATCCCAGCAACACAAACCATTTCTTATTTTTTTCCCCCAAGCGGCGGAGGATGTGGGTGTCTGTGTGTGCGTGTTTACTGAGTGAGCACACACGCATGCACACATCCCGCCATCTTTATCATCATCACAGCACAAGGTCTGAGGGCAAGAATGCCTGTCCACTTGCTGCGCAGTGAGCATTCAGCTCTCGCCAAGGCCCGTCCACAGCGGCCGAGCCAGGTCTGCCCAGTGGCCACGCTTGTCCTGCAGCCACTGTGTGGCCTGCCAGTGTGGTCTCAGCACTGCCTTGTCATGACCACCAGAGGCCACAGTTCCCGTGGTGCCCGTTCTCGTCTTCTGGCATGAAAGAGACTTAACATTCTACACAATATTTGTCTTTCCTCAGTAATATTACATTTATATAAGTTCACATAAAATGTCCCATGCTATTCCTGAAATCCCAGTATGAATTTCTTAGCAACCATGTTTCAAACAAGGCTTTCTGGGCCAGGCGTGGTGGCGCATGCCTGTAATCCCAGCAACTTGGGAGGCCAAGGCAGGAGGATGGCGAATTCAAAAGCCAGCCAGGCCCCAAGAAACTCAGTGAGACCCTGTCTCTAATAAAATACCCAAAAGGGTTTGGAGATGTGGCTCAGTGGTTAGGTGCCCCTGGGTTCGATTCCTGGTACCAAAAACAACAAAAAAACTCAAGGCCAAGGCCCTCTGTTTTGTCTCTTCAAGAACCCGAGTAAAGATGTGACCAGGCAAAGGGTACTGCGAAAGTCTTCAGCTAGTGAGTCAGCCCCGGCATGGCCTGAACCCCCTAGGGTTCAAGGTCAAAGGTCTGTGTGACACTGGCAGGACAGGTAGCTGAGCCAGGAGTCAAAAGCTCAGGTTCTAGAAGCAAAGATACATAATGGGCTGTGTTTCACGGTCCTCATCTGCAAATAGGGAAAACAGCCACCTCCTCACCAAGGGGATTGTGAGACTACAGGCGATGTGCAGGTGGGAGCGGGGCCTATGGCTGGACAGGGCGAGGGCCTGCCCTGGCGCCACGTTCTCAGACATAGGACCTGAGTTCTACGCGAGGCTGAGAAAGGAAGGGGCCTCCTGGAGCCCGTCCCCACCAGTCCCCACCAGCCACCAACAGTGGTCTCCTCTTCTTTTCCACTATAGAGAAAATACTTAGCTGAAGAAAACTAATTTTCAAAATTTCAACAATTTCCCTTTGTTGAAAATGGTACTGCTCAAACTTTAGTGTTCATAAAAGTCACCTGGAGTTTGTCACCAGATTCCCCTTAAGAATTCTGACTTGGAAGGGGACTGAGAAGTGTATTTCTACCCAGCTCCTGGGGATGGAGGCACTCATGCTTCCTAACTTAAGGGTGCAGGATTCTGAAGGAGACGGTTGGCGCGGACAGCCCACTTACTGTTCCTGTTGTTGAAGACAGACACAGACAAGGCGTGCTCCATGTCCTTGAGCTTGATTTCCTCCCTCTGCTTCCCTCTTCTCCAGAAATCCAAAGCCACATCTGTGATCCTCTCTGCTCCAGCATTGCTGTAAGACAGCTGCAGTGAGGGGGGACTGGGCTTCCCGAGGCCCACGGGTGCGCGCCCAGCCCTTCAGCCATGTCCCAGCCGGGACCTCACCTGAGGAATATGAAGATGGCCTTCTGGTAGGAGACCTCATCCACCACATCGTAATAGTCCAGGAAAGGCTTGATGGCATCTATGAGGCCAGCGTGCATTTTGTCCATCTCATCAAAGATGAAGATGGACCTTGCACAGGCACTCACGTTGCCTCGGATCCACAGCTGTAACTGGTCCTGGATTGCAAGGGGAAGAGCCAATTCAGAGCCCTCAGCAAGCGCAACGGAAACAACCATTTCTATGCAGTGCTACAAAAGGAACCCAGGGCCTGGGCCTCGTGCATGTTAGGCCTGTGATCAACCACTGAGCCACGCCCTAGCCCTGTGGGACAACTTCCACCACTGAGAACAATGGGTGCATTTTGGGAGGTCTGCACCAAGAACCTGACATGCACTTTCTTCCTCACGATCACCCCAGGGAGGGGGCACCATCATACCTGACTTACAGATGAGGACGTGGAAGCAGGGGGAGCTTAACCCACATGCCCAAGATTATACAGTATGTAGCAGAGCAGGATCTGAACCCAGCCCTGCCTGACTCCAAGCCCCTCACCCCAGTGATGACTCCTGCTGGGAGACCAGGACAACACAATGAGGTACTGGTTCTTGGTCCCCAAACGGCAGTGAGCTACACACACCGTGTAGTGTACTCCAATCTTTCTGGAAGAGAGAACCTAAGTGACCTCTACCCTTACTTGGCAGCATGGCCAGTGCCAGTGCTCCAACTTATAGATGGAAATGTAGTGATCCGGCTCCCTCAGGAGAGGCAGCTGAACCCCAAGGTGCAGCACTTAGAGGACAGCCTGGTGAGGCAGCACATCAGTTTCTGGAACAGTTCCTGAAATAAATCTGCCTCACCATATACCCTGTGAACACATTTGGGTACTTATTTTTGTGTGTGCTGGGAATGGAACCCAGGCTCTAGAGCACGCTAGGCAAGGGCTCTACCACAGAGCCACACCCCAGTCCAGGGTATTCCAGGTAAGGAATAAGATCCCTTGAAGCTTTTTTATCAGAAAGTTAGGCTATGATTCTATAAAATCCACAGATATTTTTTCCCCTCCAGGTGAGGTAGGAAATTGAGCTATTTATTTTCTAAGGAAGACTCTGGAAGTTACACTGTAGGTCTTATTATTATTCCGGGGTTATCCTTGGCTACTGTGACTGTGGTTACAATGTTCCCTGTGTGTATCTAATCTAAGCAGCAATCCTGCCCTGTAAGTCTGAACTAGCTTCCACTTACACAGGAACCTCTGGAGACCTGAAGTGGCTTGAGCTCACTGTGTCACTATTTACACAGGACTCCCTGCTCTGTTGGCCCCATCAGCCAAGGTGTTCTCACTATGCTACGCCAATGTAGACAGTTGATCACAGGCCTAACATGCACGGGGCCCTGGGTTCCTTTTGTAGTACTGCAAAAAAACAGTGTCTGGCAAGACACTATTCAAAGCACCATTTACACAACATGTTACCGTTCCACCCAAAGCCATCAGGACAACACTACTGCATTCTCTTTCAGACAGATAAGAAAATGCAGGCACGGAGAGGTCAACCTGCCCAAAGTCATTTGTTAAGATGGAGGTGCCTCAATCCTAACTATGACAACCAACTCATTCCAACTGGCCTAGAACTTGTCCAGTTTCAATGCTGGAAGTCCAGAATCTCAGGAGCCCTAGGCAGTTGTGTTCAGGTGGTGAGGGCTAAGTATCTGACTGTTCTGCCTACTTTGCAGGTCTGTCACATGGATCCTAAAAGGTAACAGCACTTATTTAAAGCTCAAGTGCCAGGCACCATGCTACATAACTGACAGCTCACTGAATTCTCCCAAGCACCATTATGTAATGAAGACCCTGTTTCTCAGAGAGGTCTGGTGACTTTCCCAAGGCTACACAGCTGGTAGGAGGAAGTGTCAAGATTTGAGTCTAGGGTCACTGCCAGAGCCTGGGTGGTTGGTTATTCAGTGAATTAAACTGTAAAAGCATTTAGCAGCAGGGAAGTTCAAGCAAACTTAGGCATCTCTAGACATGCTTCCCTTTGCACAAAACGAATGACATGTGACAACCTTCAAACTGGATTTAATCATTTCCATTTCTAAAAACCTATGTCCATGCTTACTATCACTGGGCCTAGTTTCAGAAACCACCACAAAGCTTTGATGTGTAATGACCAGGAATTTCAACTCTCTCTAACTTCCACACCTTTCAAAGGGGAACTGACACGTGGTGCCGTGTTCAGGCTCACTTATTACAACAGGGAACCCCCAAAAGATCACAGTAGAGACCCCACACCCAGCTTCATCCAGGAAGGATTCCAAATTTCTGCCCTTGCCTTATACAGGGTGATGTTCGAGGCGTGGGGGAAATGCAGCGTGGCCACAAACAGGTGGACATAGTCACTGTTCAGACCGCCCTCGTAAATATTCTCGGCGATGATCTTGCTGACAAAATTTTTCCCCGTGCCGGTCCACCCGTGCAAGGAGAGCGTGAGAGGTTTCTTGGGCCTCGGGTTGCTCAGGAAACCAGACACAGCGTTTAAAATCACTTTCTTTGCAAGATGCTGTCCAAAGAGTTTCTTATCCAGATCCTTCTGCAGTGCTGGGAAAAAGAAAGCCAGTCGGGGGAGGGCGGAGAGGGCAGGCCCGCGGGCTCCGCCGAGCACCGACCCCGCCGGCTCCTCCCACCCGAGGCCGCGGCCAGGGGCGCCCGGGCAGCGCTCCAGCCTCCCGGCGGGCTCCCCCGGGTCCGGTCCCTAGCCCGCGAGCAGAGTGCGGCCGGCCGCCTCGGCGGTGTCACCTGCAGCCCCCCGCAGCCCCGGCCCCCGCCCGGCGCGCCTACCCTCCCGGCTCAGGCTCCGCTTCTGGCCGCAGCACTCGGCGAAGAGGCAGTAGAGGCGCGGGTAGGAGATGTAGCCGGTCAGCACGCCGGCCAGGGCCAGCCCCAGGCTGATGGGCTCCACCGCCCGCACCACCCACGGCGCCAGGAGCAGCAGGGCCAGCACGGCCCGGCCCAGCTTCATGCCCGGACCCGCGCCGCCCTGCGCGAGCCTGCGCCGACCCTGCACCCGCGCGACCGCCAGCAGCACGCTTCCGCTTCCGCCCCGCGGTGGCCGCCCTCTTTGTTTGGGGCAGTCCCGCCCCTGGAGCGTGAGGCCGCCATCTTTGTTAGGGGCAGCCCCCGACATCGCACCTCCTCTTCTGAAATGTTTTTTGTAGATATCCGCTGATAGTTACGTGGTTTTTGTTTGTTTTTAAGAACAGTTTTAGGTTTACAGAAAAATTGAGAAGGTCAGAGGGTTCCCACATACCATCTCCCCTAGTTTCCATTATTATTTTTTTAAAAAGTTGTGGTAAGAATCGAACCCAGGGCCTCACACATGCTAGGCAAGCGCTCTTCCATTAAGCTACGACCCCAGCCCATCCATTATTAAAATCTTTTTTTTTTTTTGAGAGAGAGAGGTTTTTTTTTTTTAATATTTATTTTTAGTTTTCGGTGGACACATCATCTTTATTTTATTTGTATGTGGTGCTGAGGATTGAACCCGGGCCCGCGCATGCCAGGCGAGCGCGCTACCGCTTGAGCCACATCCCCAGCCCAAAATCTTATATTATTAGAATCTTATATGCTACATTTGTTACAATTAATGAACCACTCGATAGATTAACTAAAGTCTGTAGTTATTCACATTCCCTTACTTTTATTTAATTCTTTCTTGCACACCACATTTAGTTGTAATGTCTCTTCTTAATTGTGACTTCTGCAGAATTAACTTTTTTTTTTTTTTAAGATCTTGCCTTGATAGTTTTGAGAAGTACTGGTCTGGCCTGAATTTTTTTGATTGTTGTTTTGTTGTGGTGGTGATAAGGATGAAACCCAGGTCCTCATGTATTCAAACAAAAAAAAATGAGGCACATGTGGTTCCTGCCTCTGTGACCTTGCATGCTACTAGAGCTGGGTATTCTCCACTTTATAGATGAGAAAACAGATTTAGAGGGAAAGGGATTTGTCCAAGGACACAATTAACCAGGAGCAGGGCTCAGATGTGACCTCGGAGCCAAATTCCTGTAGACTCAGCACCCACCCTACATCAGCTCAGGAGTCAACAGACTGCTCCTTCCCTGTTGTGGTGCCTGTGTCAATGCCTCAGGGAAAATAGCAGCAAGTTTGGGAAGGTACTTGACAGGCTGGGGCATGTCCATGTCTTTTGAATTAAAGGAGAAAAATCTATTTTAGTAATTCAGTTTTACATTTGAGTTACTCCACCCCAGGCTTTGAAAACATTATCTGATGTTAATGTAAAGAAATATAATACAAACAATAAGGTGGGTTTCATTTTCAATTCCATCACTGTTTTAAAAGTGATAAAAAATGCAGTTTTTCTTTTTTAGTGATACAACCTAGGAGCACACCACTGAACTATATCTCTACCCCATTTTATTTTTTTTTTATTTATTTTTTTTTTACTCCAACAATTCTTTTTTATTTTTTTTTTTTACTTTTTGGCGGACACAACATCTTTGTTTGTATGTGGTGCTGAGGATCGAACCCGGGCCGCACGCATGCCAGGCGAGCGCGCTACCGCTTGAGCCACATCCCCAGCCCCCCATTTTATTTTTTTGAAACAGGGTCTATGTGGGAGACCAACCTTACACATGACTGAGTCACACTCCCCGGCTGGATGCTGAGGTGCTCAGTCACAGAAATGTGACAGAGTTTTCCCCACCCTTCTTGGGTTTGAGGGCCAGTGTCTCCTGCATGGGTGTGTCTTGCTACAGCCCCATGGGTGAAGCTATGCTCACTGTTCCTTTGTAATATAACCCCTTGCCCTGTTTAGGATAGAATCTTCCATGGAAGTGCCTTGTGTGTGTCCCCTTCTCTTACTGTGCCCTTGGGTGTGGCCTACCCAGGTGTCAGTCAACCTGCTGACAGTGGACATCATGAAGATACTCAGCCCCCTGAAGGTCTAAGTTGCCCAGGCTGGTCTCAAATCTGCAATCCTCCTGCCTCAGCCTCCATAGTAGCTGGAATTATAGATGTGCACCACTGTCTCAGCTTAATTTTTTTTTTTTTTCATTTAGAGAGAGGGTCTCACTAAGTTGGTTAGTGCCGTGCTAAGCTGCTGAGGCTGGCTTTGAAATTGTAATGGATCCTGCCTCAGTCTCCCAAGTCACTGGAATTACAGGTGTGCGCTACGGCACCCGAATCAATTTTCTTTTTTTTTTTAATATTTTTTTATTTTTTATTTTTAGGTGGACACAATATCTTTATTTTATTTTTACGTGGTGCTGAGAATCGAACCCAGTGTCTCACCATGTTAGGCAAGTACGCTACCACTTGAGCCACATCCCCAGCCCCTCAGTTTTTCTTTTTTAATGAAGAGAAACAGGTAACTTTGTATAAGTCAGAAATACTAATATCTCTGATCCCATCCCATGTTTTCTGCTGTCTGCTGGACCTACTCTAAGCAAAAAAGGATGCAGACTCAAACCCTATTCCAAATGCACAAAAGCAAAAGACCTGATCATGTGTGCTCTTGGAAGCACAGTATGAAGGATGTCATCCTACCAGGAGCAACATAGGGCTGTGCCCTCCGACTCAGAACAGCACTAAGAGAAGTCAGGGGGCTGGGGCGGGGGCTCAGCAGTAGCACACTTGCCTAGATGTGTGAGGCACTGGGTTCGATTCTCAGCACTGCATATAAATAAATGAAATAAAGGTCTGTCAACAACTAAAAAATATATTTAAAGAAAAAAAGAGAAAGTCAACATATTTACAAACAAGATTTAATGATGCTCATAGGAACAGTTTGCCCCCAAATAGGAAAACTACCCAGTTTTGTTTCAAAAAGTCACAAATTCAGTGCTTGAAAGCCAGCAGGAAGCAGCGGCACCAAGCCTGCCCAGCAGGGACAGCCCAGGCCTTCTCAGTACCGCCTGTTCATCTTCTTGAACTTCTCATAGTGGTAGTCATCAGTGGCCTTCTCATTAGCAGGACGTTTGCGGTTAGGAGGGGACCCTGAGGAGAAGAGGAGACAGTCTGCCACACTGGAACCCACCACGAGACCCTGCTGCTCACAGGCCAGGGCCACACCATCTGGTTCCCTGTGGCTAGGCCAGTGCATACAGCACGGGAGGGCCTGGGGTGAGTATGTTTTATTTTTGCTGTCTGAACTTTCCCAGCTTGTCTCTCCTGTACTTGGTCATAGAGTGAATCCTTAGAACAGCCCCAAGTGGTGAGTTCTGTTACCATCCCCATCGTATAAATGAAGACGCTGAGGCTTGGAAAGGGATGGGCCAGAGCATGGATGAGAACCAGGATGCCCTGGCCCAAAGCCAGAGCTCCGCCCTCCCCCGCCCGCCCTGGCCTGCACAGTCCTCCTGGGAACCGGGGCCTCAGCTGTACTCACGCTCAGGCTCTGGCTTCTCCGTGTCACCCACTCGCAATGGCCGGGCTTTGGGCTCCTCTTTGTTTCTCCGGATGGGAGCATTGAGCTCCTCATGATAAACTGGACCACAAGAGAGCAGAGCACACATCAGACAGACTGCGGGGCTCCTGGGCACCTAGCCCAACGTGGGGGACGGCAGGGCTGCTTGCCAGAGCGCTTACATCGGTTGTGTTGCACGTAATTCACAGCCATGTTCGTGGGCACGAAGGATGTCTCACTGTCTTTCTTCTTGTTCTGCTGCTCTGCCAGCAGGCGAGCCTTGGCATCCTCCGTGGAAATTATATTTTTTATTTTTGCACTATGGGGAGAGAGGAATCAGAGCCCACGTTAGATCACAGCCCCTCTGGTATGCAGGTGGAATTCACTGGTGAGGCTGGCAGCCCACCCCTGTGTGGGGAAATGGTCTGTCCTAGGCAGGGCTCTCTACAGTTCACCAAGCGCCTTTACAGTCATGTTTTTGTGGACCATTTGTAGTCATGGGAGATCAGGAGCTGTTCCTCTCTTCTGATCAACAGGAAATCAAGCCTATAGTTCAAAGCCAGCAAGGCCAGGAAAGAGGTGAGAACCCAAGGTCTCCTGTCCACTCTCCCCAGTGGGGGTGTGGGTCATTGTATTTCTTTTGTGATACTCCCCCTCTAAGCAGGTATTTTGTAGTTAAAGTGAAAGGAGGATCATCGGGGAGCCTGGGGGAGCCTTTAACAGCTCCTGCTGGAGAACCCAGCGTAAAAGCCCAAGCTGGGAGCAGGAGGCGAGCAAGCACTTGTGCTCTCAGCGGTCAGGCCCTCAGGTCTCTCCGACCACTCTGACCAAGCCTCCAGAAAACTCCTGCAACAGCCTTCCAGAGAGAATGGAATTTATGCTTGTGGGTTTCCAAGGTCACAAGGAAGAAATGGTCCCCACGACTTTTAACTGGCAAACAGCTCTCCCGAGTGCCCAGGGCAGGGAGAGACAAGATGGGTCTAACACGCACTCGATGCCCAGGTCCACCTCGGGGATGCCACTCAGCATCTGGTTGGAAAGCATCTCCTCGGTCTTCTTTGCAGAGGAGACACGGATGTTTTCAGGAAGTTCATATAGACAGTCCTCTGCGTTCTTTGGCTTGATTTTCTGTTCCTCATGTTCCACAATCCCTTTCCTCTTCTTTAGCTCTGTCTCAATGTACTTCATCCTGAAAAGAGAAACCCACAGGCATCAGAGAGGGCAAGAGCTCATGTTGGACATCTTCTAAATTAGGAGTTCCCAACACTGGCCCACAGATCCATGATGGTCCACGAGGAAATACTCTTCAGTTCCTGGAGAACTGAGAAAAAAATAACTCGTGATTTTTCAAGTTAGAAAATTTCAATTTAAGCTGGGCACAGTGGTGCACACCTGTAATCCCAGTGGCTTGGGAGGCTAAGGCAGGAGGATCGAGAGTTCAAAGCCAGCCTCAGCAACAGTGAGGTGCTTAACAACTCAGTGAGAGCCTGTCTCTAATAAAACACAAAATAGGACTGGGATGGGGCTCAGTGGCCAAGTGCCCCTGAGTTCAATTCCTGGTACCCTCCCCCCAAAAAAGAAAATTTCAACTTAAAGTACCAACCTATATCGTGTCTTACCAATCTAGTGATGTTAAGCTTCTTTGAAGACAAAAAGCACAATATTCTGTGTATGGTTAGGCAAAAAAACATGACATGGTATGTATGATATACAAACTAAAATTAATGCCAACTCTCTGTTGATCCTGAAAGAAAGAGCAGTGAGGCAGAGACTCGAAGTCACCATTCAGTATGGCCAGCTTGTATGATATAAGAATGAAACAAGGACACAACAGAAAGCACAATATGTAGTTATTTTTGTTTTTTACTAACTGGGGAGTGAATCCAGGGGAATTCTACCATTGAGCTACAGCCTCAATCCCACCTTAAATTTTTTTTAAATTTTGAGACAGAATCCCACTAAGTTGCCCAGTCTGGTCTTGAACTGGACATCCTCCAGCCTCAGCCTATTGCTGGGATTAGAGGTGGTATTTGTTTTTTAAAGGATTTAGCAAAAGAATATGGGTAAGTTCATGCTTATTCCTGTAATATTTTGGGGAAATATCACTAGTCAAGGAATCTAAAATCCCAAGAACCACCCTTTAAAGAACTTTTAAAACGTTTTCTTCCTTCCTTCTTTTTAATTTTTTTTAAATATATTTAGTTGTAGATGGACATAATACCTTTATTTTTATGCGGTGCTGAGGATGGAACCCAGTACCTTCCACGTGTAAGGCAAGTGTTCTACCACTGAGCTACAACCCCAGCCCCCTTCCTTTCTTTTTTTCTACCAGGATTGAACCCAGAGGCACTTAATCACTGAGCCACGTTCCCAGCCCTTTTTGCTTTTTTTTTTTTTGAGATAAGGTGAGGCTGGCCACAAACTTAGGATCCTCCCTCCTCAGTCTCCCAAGTCTCTAGGATCACAGGTGCATGCCACCATGCCCAGCTTTTTAAGAGGTTTTCAAAGTTCTCAAGCCTGAGAGGCAGGGGGAGAGAGGTCAACTTTGGTGTCTTCTAGAGAACTCTAGAAATGTCAAATGTGACTAAGTATCATCTTAGACTTGTCTGACTTCAGCCCAGCCCCAGGTGCTCACAGCCAAACAGACTGGCACCTACATGTCTGCATCTTCATCCCTCCGGTTGGTTTCTGCAGAAAATGATGTCCCCAGATGAAGGTCCTCCTCTTCACTGATCCTGAAAGAAAGAGCAGTGAGGCAAAGACTCCAAGTCACCATTCAGTGTGGCCAGCTTGTATGATATAAGAATGAAACAAGGACACAACAGAAAGCACAATATTCTGTTTATGGTTGGGCAAAAAACATGACATGGTATGTATGATATACAAACTAAAATTAATGCCAACTATCTTGTTGGCTTCTGGTGATACCTCTGGGAAATTTATTTTTTAAGCTTTGTTATATTTGAATGTATTATTTTTAGAATGGTTTCGTGTTTGAAAGGTAATGAACAAAGCACTTTTACAAAGGGAGTCTACCTACTTGGCTCTGAGCTAAGTTTTAAAGTTTTGTTTCTTTTGAGTTGGGGGCAGGGGTTGGTGGGGACCAAACCTAGGGCCTGAGCATGCTAGGCAAGTGCCCTTCTTTTGTTTTTAAATAACATGCCCTTTGCAAAGCACAAAGGATACTTCTAGATGTTTCATGAAAAATACCACTGCAGGCCACCCTCCAACCCGTCTCTGAAGGTGCTTGGCCTGAGGCAGAGGCTGGCATGAATCTGCATCTGTCTACCCTCCACTTACTTATCTTTCCCCCTTTCCTTCAGTTTCTTCATGTCCACCATACCACCTGTCTTCATCTGAAAGGGATCATCCTGCAGAGAGCAAGCACAGTTAGAGGGAGCACAACACCAGCATGGCGATCACCACCATCATTATTATTTTTTCTAAAACATCAGGGATTGAACCCAGGGGTGCTTAATCACAGAGCTACATCCCCAAGCCTTTTTATTTTTTGAATAAAGGTCTTGCTAAGTTGCTTAGAGCCTCACTAAGTTGCTGAGGCTGACCCCAAACTTGTGATCCTCCTGCCTCATCCTCCAAGTGGCTGGGATTACAGGCATGCATCACCATGTCCAGCAGTCATCACTGATTTTAAGAACAGTCCCCTACAAAAGAGAAGCCACTGAGAGGACCCCATAACTTACCACTAGTGTGGTCTCTTCTTGTACCTTCTCTCCCACCAGCAGGGCAGCAGCACTGTGCAAAACAAAAGAAGAAATCACAATTCAGCAATAAGGAGGAACAGTCAGAAGTTTGTAGGATGCAACATAAATATAAAGGGCAAGATCTGAGGGATAGACAAGAAAGCCAGGTGCAAAGTCCCACAATTAAATTAAAATGAAATGGCTTACTGTGGATGCTGAGGGCGAGGGGGAAGTAGTACACTTTCCTATAAAACCATTCATCATGTCTTGGCCTGAAAATCTCATTTCTAAGATTTTGTCATCAAGGAAAGTGCAGTAAAAAAAGACAAATGCAAGAGAATATCTGCTTAAGCCATCTTCAATGGTGAAAATTTATAAATGACCTACATAGATTTGTTAATAAATTGCAGCACATAGTTCTGTTGGAATATTATACAGCCATTTTCTGAAAAGTATTCCACAATATGAGTGAATGCCCACAATGTTGTAATGAGTTGAAAAAAGCAAGAGAAAAAGTATGTATATCACATTGCTGAAAATCTTCACAAAAGAGAAAGAGGAAACAGACTGGAAAGAACCTTAAATGTTAACCTTAGTTACTTCTGGATCAGCAACTTATGAGTGCAGAGAGCAAGCATAAACATTATTTATCTATCTTTTGGTGCTGGGGATTGAAGCCAAGGGTTTTTAATCTATAAGCAACATCCCCAATTCTTTATATTTTTTGAGATAGAGCCTCCCTAAGCTGCTGAAGGTTTAACCAAGTTGCTGAGACTGACTTTGAGCTTGTGATCCTCCTGCCTCAACCTCCCCAGTCACTGGAAGGTACTCTTTATTTGGACTATATTTTTTCCAAATTTCCTAACCTCTTAATAATCAATGTGTATTTCACAAAATTAATCGGGTGAATTAAAGTGCAAGTTCATGACCTGTTTCTGTACCTCTGGAGCGTTCCCAGAGACCACTGTTTTCTGGACATGTGGTTAAACGTCTACAAGCAACATTGGTCCCCTCTCCAAGCAGCAGAAGGTGTGTTAATAAGAGCCATTTCTGAAATGTTTGTATGACAACCCAGGCAGGGGCGTGTCTGTCTTTACCACCAGCCAAGCACCCGGCTGTCCCCGTGGTACCCACCTCACCCCATTAGGCCTCTTTCTCAAGTTCTGCACCTCTCGGGTCTCTTCCAGTTTTAGCCTGGAAAAAAAAAAAAGCAATGCCCAAGCTGAGAGATCCTCCGTAGAACCCAGAGCCAACAGGCTGCTTGGAGGGCACCCTGACCCCAAGCAGAGCCGCCGGCACAGTGGTCAAGAGGCGGACCCTGCGCCTTGGACCCCTGGGAGTCAGATCCAGGCATATCCCGGGGCACCACCCCCATCTGTGCGGCCTGGGGCGACGGCCTCATACCCAGGAGCCTCAATTTCTTTGTCCAGAAGGATCAACAGCCCCAGCTCACAGTTAACTCAGTCTAGGAAGCGCCCGGTCAGTGGTCAGTCTCCCGCGCCAGTTTCTCTTTTCTAGGTCGGTGGAAGCCCCGCCCCAAACGCACCGAACCTCCTCCGAATCCTGCTCATCTTCCTCCGACTCAGAGTCGGCCCGGCGCCGGCGAAACATCTTCCCGGTGACCGGCATGGTGGAACCGGCCCCGGGTCCGGCAGCCGCGCCGCCGCGCCGCCTCGCCAAGTTCCGGGCCACTTCCGGCGCGCGGCGTTGCTGTCAGAGCGCCGATCACGCCCCCTGGACGCCCCGCCCCCAACGTGGCGTCGTCCTCTTCCGATTGGGCGGCCGAGGTGGGGGAGGCGGGGCGAGTTCTGCCTGGCCCCACGGCCCGGAGCGGCGCTGCTGAGGGCGTGCTTGACTGACAGGCGGCGGCGCGGTGGCGACGGCAGGTGAGTTCCGGGCCGCCGCCGGCTGCTTCGGAGGCTGGGCCTCTCCGAGCAGGGAAGACCCCCAGTCCCTCTCTGGGCCGTGGGGCCTGGCGCTGCTAGATGCGCGGAACGCCCAGCCAGGTGAGCGGAGCCCGGGATGCCCTGCTCGCCGCCGCCCCTCTCCCCGCCTCCGGCCGGCGCCTGGGGGGCCTCCCGGGCGCCCCGCATCGAGCCCCTGAGGGCCCGTGGCTTCGTCCGGACGGGGCCCGCCCTTGTCTCTTTTTTCTGCCGAGGCCTGACCCAGCGCTGAAAGCTTGCGCGTGGCGTCCTGAGGCGCTGACTTTTATTTTCTCCGCTTTGGGCCCTGACGTGCATTTTTTCCCCTTTAGGGACAAAAGATGACCACTCTCCCACGGTGGTGAATTTCAGTCGCAGCGCCAACTGCCTGGGTAGCAATGGCCTGAGGCCGCCTCTCCCCGAGACGCCTCGCCTCCGCTGACAGCCACTTGGAGGGTTGGAGACCAGGGCGCTCCTCCTCGGGCGCTTGCTGGCCTCCTTCCTACCTGACACAGGCCTTGTCTTCCTCCTACCAGGAGGACAGTAGCTCTGCCCTCCACACCTTCCACCCCGCAGATGCTGTGAGGATAAAGTTTATATGAAAACGGGTGTCAGCAAATGCTTAGGAAATAGAAAAATGCACAAAATGCAAAAAAATGCTCATGGGACTTTAGGAACCCCTTAGTAATAGTTTTTCTCCTCTCCTCTCTATTCTCCTTTGAAAGAAGACCCGATTGTTAGTGCTTACCCCTGGGGCAGGCACTGGCGAAGCCTTACCTCCTTGATTTCTCCCAGCAGCCCTGGGAAGCAGGTTCAGTTGTTTTCCACTTCATGAACGAGGGTGCACAGCCTGAAGGTGGAGCAGGGGTCAGTGCAGGTGTCGGTCTGCTCCAGGGGTTGTGCAGTACCTGGCACAGTTGGCTTCTGTGGGTGTCTGCGGCTGCAGCTGCTGCGGCTCCCATTGGCTGTGGGAGGGGCTGATGGAGCCTCTTTTTTTCTGGAAGATCATTCTAAAGCAGGGCAACATTTCTGGAATTCCTTACTTTTCTCTGGATCAGTCTTCTCTGAGATTGTTGTTCTCTTTCTTGGACTGGGACAAATAAGATTCAGGGCTTCTTGAAACAGCCTTTTGGCTTTAGTCAAAAGCCATACATCAAAACTCTTAAGTCTTGCCCTCTGCATTCTGGTTCAGCCAAACCCAGATGTACATGGCACTCACTGGACACCGTGTCCTTGTCAACAGAAGGAGAGGCTCCTTGGGAATTGCTGCAGGAAGCCAGGAACTCAGGGTCTTCAGCTCTCACACTTTCAGAGGTGGCTCTGTTTGCCTGCTTAGCCGCCCTCCCATCTGGGGTACTGGATACCATTTAGAAGCTGGGGTGTGGCTCAGTAGAAGAGCACTTGCCTAGTATGCATGAGGCCCTGGGTTCCAACCCCAGCACCACAAAAGAGTAATGCCCCAAAGTGGCAGTTGTCCATCTGACAGTGGGTGGCAGGACTGAGGGACTGCAGTCCCTCTGTCTTGTCAGGCAGTTTGAGGAATGAGACTGCTTCTCAGAAGGGGCCTCCAGGAAATTTAGGTTCTCTTATGTTTTAATTTTATTTGGGAGTTTGGTTGTTCAAAAAGCCTGGGTTTTGATTGGTTCACTAGCTTTTTGTAGCAATAGATGAAATCGTGACATGGTTCAGGGAACATGATGTCTGGATGGATTGGGATCCAGTAGAGTGATACAGTTCACAGCTCAGCCATAGTAGGTATTTAACAAATGCTTGTTGGACCAATTTATTTATTCAGGAGATATTTACTGTGGAGCATGCCTGTGAACTCCAGCTACTTGGGAGGCTGAGGCAAAAGAATTTCAAATTCAAGGCCAGTTCAGCAACTTAGCTCCTGTCTTTAAAAAAAAAAAAAATTAAAAAGGACAGGGCCATAGCTCAGTGGTAGAGCACCCATGGGTTCAATTTCCAGTTTGAAGGGAAAAAAAAGTAAAGAAAAAGGGATATTTACTGAGCATTTACTATGTGAGTAGACATTGCTTAAAATACATCAGTGAGCAAAAGAGACAAAGATCCCAATTGTAGTGGAATTTTTTATTCTGATAACTTAGTAAATGAAGTATGTAAGTGTGTTAGGTAATAAATACTTTGGAAAAGAGAAAAAAATGGAATACTGCAAAGAAATGAGCCATGGAGGGGACCAAGTGGCAGATTTAAATTATTGTAATCTGGTTCATGCTCTCGTTGGCAATGTGCCAGGATGCAGTGAACTGAGCTACAGGCCCCAGGTTCAAGTCCCACTTCAGCCGGCTTGTGAGTCTGGAGGAGCCTTCCCTGCTGGGAGTCTGCTTCCTCCTTGGAGAACCTGCTTTGCCATATACTAGCTCTGTGACCTCTGGCATGAGCCTCTGACCTTCAGCTGTTTTGTGGCTTTAGGGTTTTTTTTTTTTTAATTTTATTTTTCAGTTGTAGATGGACACAATACCTTTGTTTTTTATTTCTTTATTTTTATGTGGTGCTGAGAATTGAACCCAGTGCCTCACACATGCTAGGCAAGCTCTCTACCACTGAGCCACATCCCCAGCACCGGCTTAAGGCTTACATTCTAATCTCAGGTTGTATAATGGGCGGTGGAAGAATCAAGCCTTTCTTAGTTTTTCAAGTTGGCAGGATAATACACTAAACCAAACACAGCTGGTTCACATTAGCATGAAAAGAGGGCACTTGGAGAAAATATGCAAGTTGACAACAGATGCTTAAAGACAGAAATATGACAGTTCTCTTTGCTGTGAACAGAAATTAATTTGTATGTAGAAATTTCAGGGAAGCCAATTTTCATTTATTGTTAGGACTGAAACAACCAGAGTCATCTTCTGGGAAGAGGGTGATTTTATTGTCAATGACTGGGCTCCAAACGAGTTTGGACAGCCAGCCAACAGGGATTTTTATGGAGTACAGTCCCATCCTAAGAGGAGGATGCAGGCCAGGCTTGGTGGTCCATGCCTGTCATTCAAGCTACTCTGGAGGCTGAGGCAGGAGGATCACAAATTCAAGGTCAATCTGGGCAATTTAGTGAGACCCTGTCTCAATTTTTTTAAAAAATATAAATAAAATAAAAAAAGAGTTGAGTTTGTAGCTTAGAGGTGGAGTGCCCCTTGGCCAATCTCCAGTGGGGGGTGGGGGCGGGAGAGATGTAGCGGGGCAGCACACCCGGCGGTAGAACGCCTGCCTTGCCTAAGCCCAAAGGATGATGAATGCTTCCTCAGTCCCTTTAAATCTCTAGATGGCTTGGCAGAAGCAGGGTGCAGATCTCACCACCTGAATAAAGAGGATCTCATTTCAAATCCTAGAAGTCAAGATCTTCCTGGCTCTTCGTTTCCATTGCCCATAATTGGGAGTGTAGCTTAGTGACCTCTAGGGTTTGTAGGTCTGAATTTCTGAGTTTCTGCTTACACTAGTGCCCCTACCCCAGTGCTGGAGGCTTCCTGTGAGCTGGGCCCGTAGTTTCCCCTAGCCAGACAACCCCCAGGGACTACCAGCCTGGGATAGCCCCAAACCTGGGTCAATTAGTGACTCTCCTGGAACCCAGAGCAGGGGGCAATGTCGGGCTTTGAGCTGTGCAAAGATACAGTCCTAGACTTGTGGACAATGAGCTGAGCAAAGACGCACTTTGTGACCATGACTCTGGAGAGGTCCTGGGAGACTGTGCTTGGAGCGTAAGTGTTTGGACCTGGGAGGTGGAGACCCCCTTGCCAGGGTGGCCAGGCCTTCAGGACACGGTGGAGTGGTGGTTCAGAGCATGGGCTTCAGGTCACTTTGCCCTGAGTTTGGACCCTGGCTCTGCGGCTCAGTGGCTGAGTGACCTCAGCGGGTTTCCTCGGCCTCTCTCAGCCTGGTGCCTCACTTTGAGTGATGGAGATGGATTCAGCTTGCCTCGCTGCTGCCCCCAGCACGGTGGTGAGGGTCCGCTGAGGTCACTGTGGGACAACTCTGGACCTGGAGCTGTTGGAGTCAGAGCTGGTACTGGGGCCCTCAGGGCAGGGGCAAGGAGGGTCAGGCTGGGCAGAGCAGGAGGCCTGAAGATGTGGGGAGTGGGGTTGGTCGGTGCAGGAGGAGCCGGGGGTTCTGCCTCAGAGTCAGGGTGGTAGACCCTTCAGAAGGAAAGACAGTGTTTGGGGCTAGGAAGGAGAGGCGGGCAGGAGGGAGGGAAAGGGCGCAGGTCCTGAGGGGCCAAGGCTGTCATGGAGAGCTGCGTGGAGAGTGCAGGTGCTGGGACAGGGCTGTGACTGGCCAATGTGGGGACCAGCCTAGGAGGACTGCAGGGGCATCTCCACAGGGCCATCTTCCCCGCTCTGAGGGACTAGCTCCTCTCTGGTAGGCGCAGGTGTAGCCAGAACCTCAGGGAAAATGATGGGCCCTCCCTAGGTGGCCGCTGAGGCCCCGCCCAGCCCTGCCCTGGTGGGAGGGGAAGTGCCTCCCTTTCATCTTGATAGTCTCAGCCAGAGCCCAGAGTGGTGGGCTCTTTGCCAGAGGAACCAGCCCTGCTCGTCCCCCTCACTCTCCTGCCCCAAGAGACGGGGACTAGTGGGTACCAGGGCAAGGTGCAGCCCTACCAGCTGCCCATGGGCCCAGCGGCTCTGAAGGGGGCCTGTACACAAACCCGGTTCTTTCAGCAGCGTGGCTGGCCTCCCCTTTAGCCTTTCTTAAGTGCCTGCTATGTGCACCCATTTATTGGCACTGAGGCACAGGAGGGAGGGCAGTGAAGGTGGCAGCTGCTGGCTCCCAG